TCAGTTTCTTGAGATGTTCCAAACCAGATAACCCCTTGTCAATAGAAAAGACAATGATTTACACTATTGAGAATGCTTTGAAGAAGCTGAACTGAGGGTATAAAAATCTGTAAAAAAGCAGCTATGTATGTGTGTGTGCTTCAAGAGGAGAACTCTCTCTCTGTCACATACCACCTGATGTTCTTCTTGAGAGGCTGGAAGAAACAGATCATCTCCCTTCAAGGATTGTGCTAAGACCTTCATCTGTCAGCATTGAAACCTGAGTGCCTTGGACTGGTGAGATCCCAGCACTCTCTCTCTCTCTCTTCTCTCTAGGCATAAATTTCTGAACCTGAACTGTATTAGTTAAGCTTGAGCTAAGTTTCCCCAAATACTTAGTGAAACCAGGGTAGCACTGTAATTGTTTGTGTTTGTTTTCCTTTGCATGTCTATTACTACTAGTACCATTATATATTTCATATACTTAGCAATAAATAACTTTTATAGTCAAACTGGTAGTAACTGGGTACATTTTTCCTTCTCTACTTCTCCTTCCTCACTTGCTATGCAACAACATTTTTTTTTACCTAAGCTAAAGATCCCTGTGAAGCCCAAAAATACTGTGGGGTCTGCTCATCAAAAGGCTAAAGACTGGGACGTGCTGAGTTTGAAACAAATAAGGGGATCAGCTTTACAGGCTGTTTGACCCAGTTTGGCTCAGATGTGCCCTTATGAACTGCATGCTGGCCCATGAGGGTGTCAGGTGGACACTCAGCCGGATTCAGAGGTATTTTGTTTACCTGCGTGCTTGTGTCTGACTGCAGTTTATTGTTACTCTGATGAACTGATTCTTGGCATATGAGGGTATCAGCCTGTCCATGCTGATCAACTCGGCCGGGTCAGGCATGTCACGTTAATCTGTGCATGTTTGTGTGTATGACTGATTTTGTGACTGGAGGAACCCAGCCCCATTGAAACTGAGTCCTGCAAGATAACTCCATTGGGGGTGAGGACTTGCAGAAGGGAGATATACAGCTCTGTACAGAAACACAAGTAACACAAGCAGCACATTGATAGAATTACAAAGACCTTAGAAACGTATCCCTAATAAATGAGCACACCCCAAAGTGATGGGCAAATCTGGTAAAAGTAGGCACTTCTTCACAAATTCTACTCAGTTTTTGGATTTATAAGGGCCAGGTTGAAAGCCTGCCTCTCCAAAAGAATAGTCTGCAGAAGAAATCTGTACTTCTGGGGGAACTATAGTGTTCTGGTCACTTGACTTGCGTTGGATGAGTCACTTAATTTACTTGTGGCTTTGTTACAAACTGTGGAGAATAACACTTTCTTCCTCCAAACTCCTGGTCTATTTTCTCTGTTTAGACTAAAAACTTACCCAGACAGGAATTGTCTGCTTACCTCCTAATGCAAAGAGCTAAGCTCTGTTGGACTTTTAGGTACAAGTGTAATACAAACAATAGTCTGACATTAGTATTTGAGCAAACGAGAGAAGGCCTTCAAGGATGACCAGGGGAATGGACAGACTATTTTACAAGAGGAGATTAAAAGGGCTTGACTGGTTTCTCATAACAAATTGAAGGCTGGGAGAGGACATGATTACTAACTTGCAAATGGATCAGGTGAGAAAACATCAGAAAAAAGAGCTATTTAGGCTAAAGGGTTATATTGACACAGGACCAAATGGTCATAAACTGGCCATGAATAATTTTAGGCTAGAAATTAAAGGAGTGAGATTCCAGAACAGCCTCCCAACAGGAGTAGTAGGGACAAGCAACCCAACTGGCTTTAAGATGTAGCTTGATACATTAATGAAAGATTAGATTATTTTGTTGCTTATAATTGCTAGCCTTGTTGATTCATGAGGCCCCTTCCAGCCCTGCGTTGCCTTGTTCAGGACCATTTATCTGTAATACTGGCAGAAAAATAATAATATAGTTGGTCAAAAATATTATGTTTTCACATTTTGTGGAAAAAGTGGAACAGGTTACAAGCACTCGAAACAGGAGCAAGTGCCAAAATATTAACACCAGCCCCTAGTTTACATAGGAGAGTAGTGTAATCTCAACTCTGAAGCAATAGGGTGGGTGGCAAACAAGAATCAGGCTCCACCACTGATTCAAGTTAGAATTAATGCTGGTTGCTTTGAACCCACTCAGTGGTTTCTAAATGATTATCTGTCACGTGAAATATGTTGAGAATTAGTAATACCCACAGAGTTACTTTCAAGCAAATCACTTCCTTTTAATGTGTGCTCTTCCACTGAACACCAACACTAAATGGCATGCATCATGGCTGAGGGAGAAGTAGGGTTCCATGACCAATTTGGAATTCAGCTGGTGAGCAGAATTCTTACCTAGCTATTACTGGCTCCAGCATATGCTGCAGCCTTTAAACTGGTCTCGTATTGATGGAGCAGCATGTCCATGGCACATGCCAGCACACAGCATTTCTTATTTACGCATGTGCATGCATGCACACACGTGTGGTTCATTTTTAGGACTGTTTCCATTGCGTTTG